TTTAAAAAAAAAAAAAAAAAAAAAAAAAAAAAAAAAAAATTATTATCCTTGTGAATTATCAACTAATAATTTCTATTTTCTAAAAATATTGAATAAGTATTGAATTTTTAGTGGCAAGTTTTTTTAAATTGTATTTTCAGCATGATGTATTCATATAGCATAGTTCTTGCTTAAATATATCTTAAATACATATCTTCGATTGAAATTTTTACCAATGAATTTGATGTTTCCCAGCATTTTGAACTTTGCAGCATGATATTTCTCCAGCTCCTCTGGAGTGAGTGGGGTATCTCTCTTATCAAATTCTGAAAAACAAAACGAATCAGACAATTACACACGATTAAATTTTCTCTCTGTATATACTAGAGCAACTGTACATTCAGCACCCAAAATATAGGATTCAAAAGTCCTCCACTCCTACCAAAACCATATTTGGACCAAAAAGGCAACAACAACAGATAAGAGAAGGTAAAATGTATTACTATTAAGGTTAACACTTGTACCAAAGAAGATGTAAGAAGATATTTAATGAAACATGTCACCCAACATCATTGAATCTGCTTATGAAATTATACATTTTAACATTTATGTAAGAAAAACTCACCATTTGTGGCTTTGGATCTGTTTTCAAATTCATCTTGACACTTGTTCAACAAATGGCGTCTAAAAGACTAAATTAAAAACAAAACAAAATTTAATGAAAAATTAAATTTTTTTACCAATATGCAAACGAAATCATGCCATGCCTATATCAATGATAGTATTTGCTTTTATAATGTTATTCGCTGGTAATTTTAATCTAAAAAAAAACAAAAAAAAAACATGAACAGTAAATTAAAACTAAACAAGTATTAGTTCCCCAGATGTTTAAGGCTTCCTTGTAAAAAATCATCACTTACAGTGTTGTTTGAAGATGCAGGTTCAAAGTTTGGTGCATCCTCACATAGTCGCTGGCATAATTGAGCATATAATGAACTATACTTTGGTTCATCAAGTGATTTCTCAAAAATCTGAAAAGCAATCAACTTGCTTATACATCAACATGACAGTGGTAAAAAATAGTCAGCACAATACTTAATTTATGTGTTTTAGTGCATACTGGGACATATTTTAAAATAGAAACTAAGTACCAAAATACTTACAAGAAGGATAATTCCCTTCAAAACCACCGGTGAGTCAATCCCTACATTCAGTAATTCTAGACCAAGTTTGTCAAATTTTTCAGGAGTGAGTTTATTAAGTATTCTGAAATGAAATATTAAATCACAAGTTGTAAAAAAAAAAAAAAATGAAGCTCAATCCAAATTTATTATTCATTGCCATTTATTGAAATATATGTGACAAGGTCAAAAGTCTAAAAATATATATTTCATGAATGACAAAAGTTGTGTATGATTATTTTTGATTTTTTGCATAGCATCTGATATTGTGCGGATTTTCACTGTCCTAATTTTTATTTTTCAGCTCTTTTCCTCTTCAGAGAAGATAGAACAGCAATATTATCATCAACTGTGATCTTCCAGGAAATTGAAGAGGATATGAATAAGAACCACGCACATATTCACTAGAACAAAACAGCCTTGCCAAAAAGAATTCAGACAAGTTGGTGTTAGGCAAGGCTATATCAATTGATATAAATGTAACACAAAAAAATTGAAATAAAAACACGTGAAACCAAAATTTTAGTACTCAATAAAATGTTCATAATTTACTATTTCATATTACAAAGTTCAAAGAAATAATGCAGTGTTACTTGTTGGATAAAAATTATGTAATACTAATAGTCTTCATAAGCATTTTCTTTGAGAAATCTATGCTTAAGCATGTTATACATTTTTGCTGCTCTTAAAAAGCCATATATTTTTTTACCTTTCGATCTTCACCAAATCTGACATTATCATTTTACATAATTAATAAAGGAAAGGAAAGTTTTGATTCATCTTAAAAAAGGGAGAAAAATGCAAAGGGTAGACTAAAAGATATACTCAAGAGAGAATCACAATAACTGATATGAGCTAAGTTAAATGCAAGAAGTCTTTTATATCTTAATTGTTCAGTTACAGATACAAATCCACTGTTAACTATAAAACAACAAGCTGAATCACTTACCCTCTAACTTTCCTGAATGTACTGTCATGTTTTTCATCTTGGGTTAGGGCATCTCGTTTAACGCTGCTTGGAGGAATCCATCGCTGATTAGCTGATGTTGCAACTGGGCCAGAGAGTAGGGGTGATCTCTCGTCCCTAAAATTCAAATCAAAATTAAAATCTCTTCATGATTTATATATTGGGAGACCCTTCAAAAAGAAAAAGAAGAAAATAATCGGACATAATTGAAATATCTTGAAATTTAAATCAACATAAATGGCTTGAAACCTTAGCGAATTCTATCTCCAAAATAAACTAATTCCTAAGAAAAAACCTTAGAGGATTCCCTAAAAATAATTCCTGCAACCAAAGACAAGTAAACCTTTGCTGCAACCCAGTCATTTTTTTTTACACTGGACTTCACTTGTTATCCCTTTCCCTTATTTGAACAATTAACTTGACCATTCTTGGTGAATCCATAACTTATAATAAAAACATATTACACTAGTTTAGATCATAGTAATATCAAACCAGCCTCATGGCATCTATGAGACAAACAGGGGAGATCGATAAAGTCGACAGATGTCATTCGTTCCCTTCGTGACCCGAGAAACCCTTTCATTCCATTTCAAACGTAATTTATTCTTTACCTTCCTCCCGCACGTCGAGAAGCACCACCCGATCCTCCTTGTCCGTCCAGAATTATGTTTATAACCAAGTCTTCCCTGAGTCGCTTCACAGAGATGGAGACTTAAAGAAAAAAGAAAATCTGAAAGAGAAGAAAAGTCAATCAATGATTAAGAACAAAGAAATGATCGTAGGCCGTCGCGATAAAGCAAGCAAGACAAAGAAGATAGTGACCCATCCTGTCATTTGTGAGACATATTTTTCTTGAGAAACTTACAAATCGGAAGAAAATACAGGTTATTACCATGAAATATATACTAACAGCTATCGTTTAACCTCAACATGAATTATTTTTGACCAACGGCTGGTCCTCACCGTGATTTTTTATCTTCTGTCAGCCTGTTTTGCCGTTTCCTCGCCTTGCGAAATGAGATGATTACCCACAATGCACCAACATACTCTCAAGTAAATTGTAATCACTTGAATTTAATTTGGATTTTGATCATTAGAATTAAACACTAAAAATTCATCATCTTTGATTCAAAAGTGTTTAATAATTACAAAATGCATATAGATTAAATATCTCATTTGAAAGACATGTATCATCATATGTATTTGAGGCTATTTCTAGAACTGTACCACAGAGCCACCTGGCTACGATCAATGGAACTTCTGGCGATGCTAGTACATGTAGAACAGTAACCACGGTCGTACGTGCTATTAAAGCTTTCTACAAGAAAACAAAAATAAATAAAATAATAAAATAAAAAATAAAAAATAAAAATAAATAAATAAATAAATCAGCGCGTCTAAAAACTATAAAAAATCATTATCATTAATTCTGAATTAAAAGAGGCAAACTAACAAGATTTTTGTCGAGTTTTGTGATTGAGCAGCCCTGTCAAGAAAAAAACACAAAAAACCTCTATACAGGTTACTTTATTCTGTCCACATCGGAAAGCAGAGTAATTGGAAAAGAGGTGAAAAGTGCCTGTACAGGAATTCCTGTATGCATATCATAAATACCTATCTGAGAGGACACTGACATTGGCAAGTGGGGGGGGGAGGGGGGGGGGGTGAGTCAACAGCTGTAAAAATAACCAGTCTTGAAGTTTCAAACCATGAAACACATACCCTTCTCCAATGGATACAAGTACTTCATTGTCATATATATATATATATATATATATATATATATATATATATATATATATATATCTGAATATGATGGATATATCTTACCATGAACTTCAATTCATTATAATAACAAATACTTTAAAGATGCACTGAAGTTCTAATGAAACTGCCAATTTTCATAACACCTGAGAGCCATAATCTTCCTGTGGCCTGGTAACTGACACAAAAATTAACTTTTAAATACTTAAAAGTATAAATTATTTGCATGAATCTAAACAAGACACCGTTCAATATTTTCCTTTTATTTCCTATTTTTATGCGTATAACAGACATGCAAGCCACACACTTGCCAATATAACTTTTCATGCAATACACCATGCTGGACCATTAGATCAAGTTCAGGCTGTACAAAGAACACAGTTCATCAGGGTTTGTATCTTGATGACATTAGACCTATTACAGGAAACTGGTTCAACTTGCTCAGATGTTGTGGTTGTACCATATATAAACAGCAGTCATTAATGTAACATTCATTAGCTAATTTTTGCTACGAGTCTCACGTTAACAAACAATGTATTGAATCGAAAAAATAAATAAGCAATGGAATTTAACCAGGTGGAGTATTTTGGCTTGTTTTTTATTATCAAATTTGATTGCACAAAACTACTACATATATTTATATATATATACAATTGTCCAAACAAATTTTACTATTTTTGACACTAAACTGATGGTGGTGAAGTGTTGGACTAAACTCCTTCATTTGTATGTTGCACAGCTGACAGCCAACACTTCATTAACAAAATCACAATATTATGGGCACTGGTGTCTCTTGACATGTGACACCAGTGGATTGGACCTAATTACAGGTCCTGATAAATAAGCATGCACAGCCGAATAATTCACAACTAGTCTGAATCGAGTCACCTTGCACTTTTATCTTTATAATTTAGAGACCATTCCATTTTATAACATTTCCCTTCTTTGTCCTTGCTTAGCCATCTATAACATTCGGCATATATGTGTTGAGCATGTTTTTCAAGGATTTGGTTTCACCTGGATTTTTATCCTTACAGCATAAATTATGTTACTGCGAGGATTCTTCTACATGATGGTTAGTCTCGATTGAAAGTATTTCCAACAAAGTTACTTTTTGTTTTGTGTATAATCTATTCTTAATAAAATGACCAGCCACATGCAATTTGCCTTATTACAATACAATCCGTCTCCCAATCATAACCTCATGCTGCAGACAATCAGTACAGTGACGTGTTGTTTTTAAACAGAACTAGAATTTAAAATTCTTCTTAAATTTGACCCTCCCCCCAAACAAAATATTAAAGATTAGAGACATCTGTGGAAAACAAGATCTAGCAAAAGCTTCTGTGAAGAATCTCTTCCTAAATGTTTCACCAAAAGTTTCACCAAAAGAGTTTCTTCAGGGGAAAACTCTAGAACACTCAGAACAATAACTATGGTCAAAATTTCTTTTCTTAAATTTAGACTATAATCTGTTCTTAGCATGCAGTTCATTTCTATGTTTTGTAGGCCATGACAGAACTGATTGTCTTATGTCCAGTATCCATGGATGACAGTCATCCTTGGTGACCAACAGCCGTGACCCACATAAAAATCACGTACTGTAGTCTAGTAATGATATTACACGCAGCGCACTTTGGCACCTGCTTCCCTTTAGTCTAGTTCAGAGTCTTTAGTAACTGATGTTGGCGACGATTCCTCAGTGTAAATCTTTAATGCTCTCTCCTTCCTTGGGGAGTACATAATTCGCTGGTTTAGTCTTGTTCTGAAAAAAAAAAAAAAAATCTTGAGTTAATTTTTAAAAGTGCATTTCAGTCAACTATGAAAACATATTGAACAAAAACATTTTTTTGTCAGAAAAATGTGACAAATTGCAGTGCCCACCTTATGCTTTCCTTCTGTTTGATTTCTTTCTGAAGTTCTTCAGTCAGCTCCATAGGTTCTTCAGTTTTGTCTCTGGGTAAGAAAAATGCAAAAACACAATTTAATCTTGTTGATAAGTAAAAGTACTGTGACACTTGTGCATGTGAAAAAGGTGCCACAGGCTATCCAGCTATATTAAGTACACATTCTTTTATCACAGACAAAAGGTTATCCTAACAGAAAAGAACTCATATTTTGCATATCATTCAAATCAAAATATCAGCCATGTTACTTGAACTCTTCTCTTTTTATATACAAATTTAAAGTCGTAGGACCATGTAGTCTGGCATCTTACCTGTAATAGAGAACACTTCCATCATCACAGATATACAGTGGCCAGACATTGAGAGATGTCACCTGTGGATTCCACTCCAGGTCAGTGTTGATCTCCAGCAGGGACACCTCACAGGGGAACGTACCACGGCCCTGGAACACATGGCACATACTGTCAGGAATTATGGTTGAAGATATGAAGTTTGGAAGCATACTTAAATGTTCTTATGCCTGCAATTGCTATGCAACAGAGAGTCTTCTGTTTTGGAATGTCTTTGTGAACATGACTTGTTTTAATGCACGCATAAACATAAGACATGGCTCAAACTGCTAAAAACAGACTTCAAGTTTTTTATTTTACTTTTCAATAAACGTAGGGTCTATGATGTTACCTTGGCAAACTCAATATTTTCTTCAGGGATTCCACTTATTTCTGAGAGCTAAAAAACATAATGAAAAGAGACATCTCAAATCATTTGCAACTCAACAAGTGATATATAACAGTGCAGTACACTGCGCTTTCATTATGACACCTTTAACTCACTTAACCATCTCTTTTTAAATGGAAGCAATATAAACAATTCTATTAAAGTTCATATCATAACCTGGCACTGAGAATGATAACAGTTGTAACCAAGCCACACCATAATCAACATAAAGGGTTAGGTGTAAAAGTCCACCCACCTTCTGTATCAGTTCTGTGACAGCAGTAGAGTTTAAGATGACCTCCTGAAATGGATCCAGTTTGAACTGTGATGGCCTCCACCTCTTCACAGAGATAGACACCTGAGATGAGGAGGTCAACTGCTCTGGGCCTGCAACAAGAACAAGAATCAACTTACTCCAGTTTCACAAAAAAAAAAAATTCTTTACCTGAAATGTGAGAGAATTTCCAACATCCTGGTGTAACTGTTTAACTGTTTCAATTTGAACACAATGAAAACTGCATTTATGTTACTAGAGTGTAAAATTTGACATAAGTCATTTACATCACAGCAATTTAAAGTTCTTAAGATTGCTTTAAATATTAATCAATTTTTAGAATAATTCTTAAATTTGGTAATGAAAGATGTTAAAGACACCATATCAATATTATAATAACATTTTCTTCAAAGAACTTATTAAGATTTACATGATAGTTTAAAACATTTTGGATGCAGCAGAGAGAGCATATCAGTGAAATAGTGCAATAATGACTGCAAACTGTGATGTTCTTACCATGGCATAGCAAATCATATTTACTTACCATCTAAGACCTCCACAAACAGCTCCCAGTTGGCATAGATTGGAATATCATCTTCATACACTTGGTCATCAAGAAATATGGAGCCAGGGTTGCGCCAAGTCTTTTTACGCAGGCGAATTCTAAAAAAAATCATTGTTGCAGATTACACACTGCTGCAGCACACAACAGCAAAGTTATTCGTTATTTACCACGTATACTGTGTACGAGTTTACAAGTACAACTATAGTTTGTTATGTATATCTTTAATAAATGAAGTTCATCAACTTGTTTGAAAATGCCCACACAGAGTCATCTTAACACAACTTGAAAAACATCCAAGTTTTACCAACAAGAAAATATTGCTGTTTACTAATGGGAGTAAGAATTTTTTTTTTTTGATGTATTGAAATTGACAGTGGCAATTGCATCTCTTGGGATGGCCCTACCTGTCCAAGGGAACTTCCAGATTGTGCTGTAACTTCATCTCTTCCTGCAGAATTTGTTTGGACTCCAGCACTGTCATACCTTTGGCAAACACAGCATCAAACAGCAGTTTTACAGGCTGAAAAAAAAATACAATATTAAACAAACCAGCAAAAATGATTAAAACTTGTTATAAAGCTTTGTAACAAATAAGACAATAAATAAAGCAGAATGGATTTTAATAGCTTGAGGAAAGTTTATCCAACACCTACTTCTGTCTCATTGATCAACAGCTGGTACACCTTGGCCCGATATTCTCCCTTCTTTAAGGCTCTCCCTAGCTTGATATTTAGCTGCAAAAGACAAACATAAAAGAGAATGTTACACTGACCACATATTTGGGCTTATCGGATGAATCTGCAGGATTTGTAGTGATACACAGAAAAGTATATTAAATATAAAGATGGACTTACATGTGACAAAGAAAACAACGTGGGTTTTAGGGCCATTTTACACAAGACTTGAAGGCAAATTTAACACATTCAACAAAACTAAAACTATAAGTGACAAAAAGGCCTGTTATCTGATATTATCTGTTGGTGTATTTGACCACTCACTCTGCTGTCATCTCCATAAGAGCTTAAAGTCTCTGAAAGCCGTACACTCTCAAATTCCTGGTTATTGGAGTAGACCCTGTAGACCTGCAAGGCACACATAAAATCAAATTAGTCTCCAAAACTTTTCAAGATAAAAATTCAGCAGAACTGAGTGTGGCACTTTGACTGCCAGGCTTTACAACATCCTTGATATTTCAAGCGGGTCTTACCAATTTAGACTGTCATATTTACCCTCTGCCAAAAGGCTATTTTTGCTTTAGATCCTGTCCTAACAAAACCCTTCTGAATCCGATGTTTCACTTGGGCACCTTTGGGTAAGATTACTTTAAGTTTGACTCTATTATATACATCATCTGATTTTCAAACCTTTTTTTTTTNTGTTTCATTCCATTTCAAACGTAATTTATTCTTTACCTTCCTCCCGCACGTCGAGAAGCACCACCCGATCCTCCTTGTCCGTCCAGAATTATGTTTATAACCAAGTCTTCCCTGAGTCGCTTCACAGAGATGGAGACTTAAAGAAAAAAGAAAATCTGAAAGAGAAGAAAAGTCAATCAATGATTAAGAACAAAGAAATGATCGTAGGCCGTCGCGATAAAGCAAGCAAGACAAAGAAGATAGTGACCCATCCTGTCATTTGTGAGACATATTTTTCTTGAGAAACTTACAAAATGGAAGAAAATACAGATTATTACCATGAAATACATACTAACAGCTATCGTTTAACCTCAACATGAATTATTTTTGACCAACAGCTCGTCCTCACCGTGATTTTTTATCTTCTGTCAGCCTGTTTTGCCGTTTCCTCGCCTTGCGAAATGAGATGATTACCCACAATGCACCAACATACTCTCAAGTAAATTGTAATCACTTGAATTTAATTTGGATTTTGATCATTAGAATTAAACACTAAATATTCATCATCTTTGATTCAAAAGTGTTTAAAAATTACAAAATGCATATAATTAGATATCTCATTTGAAAGACATGTGTCATCATATGTATTTGAGGCTATTTCTAGAACTGTACCACAGAGCCACCTGGCTACGATCAATGGAACTTCTGGCGATTGTGGCGATGCTCGTAGAACAGTAACCACGGTCGTACGTGCTATTAAAGCTTTCTACAAAAAAAAAAAAAAAAAAAAAAAAAAAAATAATAATAATAATAAAAATAATAAAATAAAAAATAAAAATAAAAAAATAAATCAGTGTGTCTAAAAACTATGAAAAACATTATCATTAATTCTGAATTAAAAGAGGCAAACTAACAAGATTTTTGTCGAGTTTTGTGATTGAGCAGCCCTGTCAAGAAAAAAACAAAAAACCTCTGTACAGGTTACTTAATTCTGTCCACATGGGAAAGCAGAGTATTAGAAAAGTGGTGAAAAGTGCATGTACAGGAATTCCTGTATGCATATCATAAATACCTATCTGAGAGGACACTGACATTGGCAAGTGGGGCGGGGTGAGTCAACAGCTGTAAAAATAACCAGTCTCGAAGTTTCAAACCATGAAACACATACCCTTCTCCAATGGATACAAGTACTTCATTGTCATATATATATATATATATATATATATATATATATATATATATATATATATATATATATATGATGGATATATATCTTACTATGAACTTCAATTCATTATAATAACAAATACTTTAAAGATGCACTGAAGTTCTAATGAAACTGCCAATTTTCATAACACCTGAGAGCCACAATCTTCCTGTAGCCTGGGAACTGACACAAAATTAACTTAATACTTAAAAGTATCAATTATTTGCATGAATCTAAACAAGACACAGTTCAATATTTTCCTTTTATTTCCTATTTTTATGCGTATAACAGACATGCAAGCTACACACTTGCCAATAAAACTTTTCATGCAATACACCATGCTGGACCATTAGATCAAGTTCAGGCTGTACAAAGAACAGTTCATCAGGGTTTGTATCTTGATGACATTAGACCTATTACAGGAAACTGGTTCAACTTGCTCAGATGTTGTGGTTGTACCATATATAAACAGCAGTCATTAATGTAACATTCATTAGCTAATTTTTGCTACGAGTCTCACGTTAACAAACAATGTATTGAATCGAAAAAATAAATAAGCAATGGAATTTAACCAGGTGGAGTATTTTGGCTTGTTTTTTATTATCAAATTTGATTGCACAAAACTACTACATATATTTATATATATATACAATTGTCCAAACAAATTTTACTATTTTTGACACTAAACTGATGGTGGTGAAGTGATGGACTAAACTCCTTCATTTGTATGTTGCACAGCTGACAGCCAACACTTCATTAACAAAATCACAATATTATGGGCACTGGTGTCTCTTGACATGTGTCACCAGTGGATTGGACCTAATTACAGGTCCTGATAAATAAGCATGCACAGCCGAATAATTCACAACTAGTCTGAATCGAGTCACCTTGCACTTTTATCTTTATAATTTAGAGACCATTCCATTTTATAACATTTCCCTTCTTTGTCCTTGCTTAGCCATCTATAACATTCAGCATATATGTGTTGAGCATGTTTTTCAAGGATTTGGTTTCACCTGGATTTTTATCCTTACAGCATAAATTATGTTACTGCGAGGGTTCTTCTACATGATGGTTAGTCTTGATTGAAAGTATTTCCAAAAAAGTTACTTTTTGTTTTGTGTATAATCTATTCTTAATAAAATGACCAGCCACATGCAATTTGCCTTATTACAATACAATCTGTCTCCCAATCATAACCTCATGCTGCAGACAATCAGTACAGTGACGTGTTGTTTTTAAACAGAACTAGAATTTAAAATTCTTCTTAAATTTGACCCTCCCCTCAAACAAAATATTAAAGATTAGAGACATCTGTGGAAAACAAGATCTAGCAAAAGCTTCTGTGAAGAATCTCTTCCTAAATGTTTCACCAAAACTTACTCATTAAGCAGAAAGGAGTTTCTTCAGGGGAAAACTCTAGAACACTCAGAACAATAACTATGGTCAAAATTTCTTTTCTTAAACTTAGACTATAATCTGTTCTTAGCATGCAGTTCATTTCTCATGTTTTGTAGGCCATGACAGAACTGATTGTCTTATGTCCAGTATCCATGGATGACAGTCATCCTTGGTGACCAACAGCCGTGACCCACATAAAAATCACGTACTGTAGTCTAGTAATGATATTACACGCAGCGCACTTTGGCACCTGCTTCCCTTTAGTCTAGTTCAGAGTCTTTAGTAACTGATGTTGGCGACGATTCCTCAGTGTAAATCTTTAATGCTCTCTCCTTCCTTGGGGAGTACATAATTCGCTGGTTTAGTCTTGTTCTGAAAAAAAAAAAAAAATCTTGAGTTAATTTTTAAAAGTGCATTTCAGTCAACTATGAAAACATATTGAACAAAAACATTTTTTTGTCAGAAAAATGTGACAAATTGCAGTGCTCACCTTATGCTTTCCTTCTGTTTGATTTCTTTCTGAAGTTCTTCAGTCAGCTCCATAGGTTCTTCAGTTTTGTCTCTGGGTAAGAAAAATGCAAAAACACAATTTAATCTTGTTGATAAGTAAAAGTACTGTGACACTTGTGCATGTGAAAAAGGTGCCACAGGCTATCCAGCTATATTAAGTACACATTCTTTTATCACAGACAAAAGGTTATCCTAACAGAAAAGAACTCATATTTTGCATATCATTCAAATCAAAATATCAGCCATGTTACTTGAACTCTTCTCTTTTTATATACAAATTTAAAGTCATAGGACCATGTAGTCTGGCATCTTACCTGTAATAGAGAACACTTCCATCATCACAGATATACAGTGGCCAGACATTGAGAGATGTCACCTGTGGATTCCACTCCAGGTCAGTGTTGATCTCCAGCAGGGACACCTCACAGGGGAACGTACCACGGCCCTGGAACACATGGCACATACTGTCAGGAATTATGGTTGAAGATATGAAGTTTGGAAGCATACTTAAATGTTCTTATGCCTGCAATTGCTATGCAACAGAGAGTCTTCTGTTTTGGAATGTCTTTGTGAACATGACTTGTTTTAATGCACGCATAAACATAAGACATGGCTCAAACTGCTAAAAATAGACTTCAACTTTTTTATTTTACTTTTCAATAAACGTAGGGTCTATGATGTTACCTTGGCAAACTCAATATTTTCTTCAGGGATTCCACTTATTTCTGAGAGCTAAAAAACATAATGAAAAGAGACATCTCAAATCATTTGCAACTCAACAAGTAATATACAACAGTGCAGTACACTGCGCTTTCATTATGACACCTTTAACTCACTTAACCATCTCTTTTTAAATGGAAGCAATATAAACAATTCTATTAAAGTTCATATCATAACCTGGCACTGAGAATGATAACAGTTGTAACCAAGCCACACCATAATCAACATAAAGGGTTAGGTGTAAAAGTCCACCCACCTTCTGTATCAGTTCTGTGACAGCAGTAGAGTTTAAGATGACCTCCTGAAATGGATCCAGTTTGAACTGTGATGGCCTCCACCTCTTCACAGAGATAGACACCTGAGATGAGGAGGTCAACTGCTCTGGGCCTGCAACAAGAACAAGAATCAACTTACTCCAGTTTCACAAAAAAAAAAATTCTTTACCTGAAATGTGAGAGAATTTCCAACATCCTGGTGTAACTGTTTAACTGTTTCAATTTGAACACAATGAAAACTGCATTTATGTTACTAAAGTGTAAAATTTGACATAAGTCATTTACATCACAGCAATTTAAAGTTCTTAAGATTGCTTTAAATATTAATCAATTTTTAGAATAATTCTTAAATTTGGTAATGAAAGATGTTAAAGACACCATATCAATATTATAATAACATTTTCTTCAAAGAACTTATTAAGATTTACATGATAGTTTAAAACATTTTGGATGCAGCAGAGAGAGCATATCAGTGAAATAGTGCAATAATGACTGCAAACTGTGATGATCTTACCATGGCATAGCAAATCATATTTACTTACCATCTAAGACCTCCACAAACAGCTCCCAGTTGGCATAGATTGGAATATCATCTTCATACACTTGGTCATCAAGAAATATGGAGCCAGGGTTGCGCCAAGTCTTTTTACGCAGGCGAATTCTAAAAAAAATCATTGTTGCAGATTACACACTGCTGCAGCACACAACAGCAAAGTTATTCGTTATTTACCACATATACTGTGTACGAGTTTACAAGTACAACTATAGTTTGTTATGTATATCTTTAATAAATGAAGTTCATCAACTTGTTTGAAAATGCCCACACAGAGTCATCTTAACACAACTTGAAAAACATCCAAGTTTTACCAACAAGAAAATATTGCTGTTTACTAATGGGAGTAAGAATTTTTTTTTTTTGATGTATTGAAATTGACAGTGGCAATTGCATCTCTTGGGATGGCCCTACCTGTCCAAGGGAACTTCCAGATTGTGCTGTAACTTCATCTCTTCCTGCAGAATTTGTTTGGACTCCAGCACTGTCATACCTTTGGCAAACACAGCATCAAACAGCAGTTTTACAGGCTGAAAAAAAAATACAATATTAAACAAACCAGCATAAATGATTAAAACTTGTTATAAAGCTTTGTAACAAATAAGACAATAAATAAAGCAGAATGGATTTTAATAGCTTGAGGTATGTTTATCCAACACCTACTTCTGTCTCATTGATCAACAGCTGGTACACCTTGGCCCGATATTCTCCCTTCTTTAAGGCTCTCCCTAGCTTGATATTTAGCTGCAAAAGACAAACATAAAAGAGAATGTTACACAGACCACATATTTGGGCTTATCGGATGAATCTGCAGGATTTGTAGTGATACACAGAAAAGTATATTAAATATAAAGATGAACTTACATGTGACAAAGAAAACAACTTAAAAGTAGTTATCAAAACAGAATGTGGGTTTTAGGGCCATTTTACACAAGACTTGGAGGCAAATTTAACACATTCAACAAAACTAAAACTATAAGTTACAAAAAGGCCTGTTATCTGATAATATATGTTGGTGTATATGACCACTCACTCTGCTGTCATCTCCATAAGAGCTTAAAGTCTCTGAGAGCCGTACACTCTCAAATTCCTGGTTATTGGAGTAGACCCTGTAGACCTGCAAGGCACACATAAAATCAAATAAGTCTCCAAAACTTTTCAAGATAAAAATTCAGCAGAACTGAGTGTGGCACTTTGACTGCCAGGCTTTACAACATCCTTGATATTTCAAGCGGGTCTTACCAATTTAGACTGTCATATTTACCCTCTGCCAAAAGGCTATTTTTGCTTTAGATCCTGTCCTAACAAAACCCTTCTGAATCCGATGTTTCACTTGGGCACCTTTGGGTAAGATTACTTTAAGTTTGCCTCTATTATGTACATCATATGATTTTCAAACCTTTTTTTTTTTNATAACCTGGCACTGAGAATGATAACAGTTGTAACCAAGCCACACCATAATCAACATAAAGGGTTAGGTGTAAAAGTCCACCCACCTTCTGTATCAGTTCTGTGACAGCAGTAGAGTTTAAGATGACCTCCTGAAATGGATCCAGTTTGAACTGTGATGGCCTCCACCTCTTCACAGAGATAGACACCTGAGATGAGGAGGTCAACTGCTCTGGGCCTGCAACAAGAACAAGAATCAACTTACTCCAGTTTCACAAAAAAAAAAAATTCTTTACCTGAAATGTGAGAGAATTTCCAACATCCTGGTGTAACTGTTTAACTGTTTCAATTTGAACACAATGAAAACTGCATTTATGTTACTAGAGTGTAAAATTTGACATAAGTCATTTACATCACAGCAATTTAAAGTTCTTAAGATTGCTTTAAATATTAATCAATTTTTAGAATAATTCTTAAATTTGGTAATGAAAGATGTTAAAGACACCATATCAATATTATAATAACATTTTCTTCAAAGAACTTATTAAGATTTACATGATAGTTTAAAACATTTTGGATGCAGCAGAGAGAGCATATCAGTGAAATAGTGCAATAATGACTGCAAACTGTGATGTTCTTACCATGGCATAGCAAATCATATTTACTTACCATCTAAGACCTCCACAAACAGCTCCCAGTTGGCATAGATTGGAATATCATCTTCATACACTTGGTCATCAAGAAATATGGAGCCAGGGTTGCGCCAAGTCTTTTTACGCAGGCGAATTCTAAAAAAAATCATTGTTGCAGATTACACACTGCTGCAGCACACAACAGCAAAGTTATTCGTTATTTACCACGTATACTGTGTACGAGTTTACAAGTACAACTATAGTTTGTTATGTATATCTTTAATAAATGAAGTTCATCAACTTGTTTGAAAATGCCCACACAGAGTCATCTTAACACAACTTGAAAAACATCCAAGTTTTACCAACAAGAAAATATTGCTGTTTACTAATGGGAGTAAGAATTTTTTTTTTTTGATGTATTGAAATTGACAGTGGCAATTGCATCTCTTGGGATGGCCCTACCTGTCCAAGGGAACTTCCAGATTGTGCTGTAACTTCATCTCTTCCTGCAGAATTTGTTTGGACTCCAGCACTGTCATACCTTTGGCAAACACAGCATCAAACAGCAGTTTTACAGGCTGAAAAAAAAATACAATATTAAACAAACCAGCAAAAATGATTAAAACTTGTTATAAAGCTTTGTAACAAATAAGACAATAAATAAAGCAGAATGGATTTTAATAGCTTGAGGAAAGTTTATCCAACACCTACTTCTGTCTCATTGATCAACAGCTGGTACACCTTGGCCCGATATTCTCCCTTCTTTAAGGCTCTCCCTAGCTTGATATTTAGCTGCAAAAGACAAACATAAAAGAGAATGTTACACTGACCACATATTTGGGCTTATCGGATGAATCTGCAGGATTTGTAGTGATACACAGAAAAGTATATTAAATATAAAGATGGACTTACATGTGACAAAGAAAACAACGTGGGTTTTAGGGCCATTTTACACAAGACTTGAAGGCAAATTTAACACATTCAACAAAACTAAAACTATAAGTGACAAAAAGGCCTGTTATCTGATATTATCTGTTGGTGTATTTGACCACTCACTCTGCTGTCATCTCCATAAGAGCTTAAAGTCTCTGAAAGCCGTACACTCTCAAATTCCTGGTTATTGGAGTAGACCCTGTAGACCTGCAAGGCACACATAAAATCAAATTAGTCTCCAAAACTTTTCAAGATAAAAATTCAGCAGAACTGAGTGTGGCACTTTGACTGCCAGGCTTTACAACATCCTTGATATTTCAAGCGGGTCTTACCAATTTAGACTGTCATATTTACCCTCTGCCAAAAGGCTATTTTTGCTTTAGATCCTGTCCTAACAAAACCCTTCTGAATCCGATGTTTCACTTGGGCACCTTTGGGTAAGATTACTTTAAGTTTGACTCTATTATATACATCATCTGATTTTCAAACCTTTTTTTTTTATTATGTTAAGAAATTAAAGTCACCTCTGGATATAAATCAACTAACCTTAAAATTTTCCAAAGATGTCCCCACATAAGCTACCAATTCTCTTTTTAGAGCACCAAGGGTTATTCTTTTATCAACATCAACTTCTAAAGCTGAAAACAAGAAAGATAGATTATTAGTCTTACCACAAATCTCAAGCTATTTTCCTGCTCATTTCTTACAAGAAAAGTAACATCTTAATATAGCCTTAACATTCAAAAGCTAGAAACCACTCAATCAACTTAACATCTGTATCTTGGCAGGTAAGAACTATTTTTTAAAATTCCATTATCACTCCCTTTGCTTACTTCTTGCTCCTGTATCACTGTTCACTTGTAATGTGGCACGGAAATAACGTTTGACGTCTTCCTCTCCATTCTCCTGCAACGTGCTGGCCTCGTCCATATCCCAGCAGTCACTGGCCTCTTTCTGAGAGGTAATGTCCTTGACATTCTCCTCAGGAGATTGCACTTCAGAGGCCACATCACAGGGTCTATCAGTTTGTGTCTCCAGTGACTGTGGGGTGGAGGATCCTGTATTTGAGTCTGTGTTACTGGACTGTTTGTGCACAGTGTCATTGATATAGTTATTGATTTCGTCAGAGGCATTGACTGCCGTGCTGTCACTGTCAGAGGCACAGCTGCTATCCCCATTGGGTTTACAATAATCTTTTGTCCTCTCTATTCTGTCATATACATCGACCTCAGTGCCCTCCTCTATCCCCTCCCCCAGGTCCTGAGGTTCCAAGGACTCCACTGCTCTCACCTCTGCCTCCACAGAGAGTTTGTCAATTGCATCTTGTACCAGTGCTGTGGACTGCTGCAGCCCATTGCTGTTTAAGTAGCCCATATTGCTGCGCTTGTTATAGTGAATCATCTTCAAAGCTTGGACTGAAATGTTATTAGTAAACTTGAAATAAATGATGCCATGCCTGCTTGGAACAGATTATATCTAGGTAGCAACAGCTAGTAGTTTATCTAACTTGAGCTCAATGTTATTTAAATTATTAAAACTAAAAGTAAAACGTAAGTAGTATATAATGTATCAAGCAGTTTAAAACAAGGTACACGTCTCTCCCTACCTTCAGCCTCTGTAGGTAAGGTAATATTCAGCCTTATGGTATTTTCATAGCGGTCTAAAATCTTGAAGAGTTTGGATTGTGAAAATACAGTGGATGGATCCTCTTGTTCTTCTGGTGAGCTAGCACTCTCCACAAAAACCTACAATAAGACAGATATCAATTAGTACCGACCAAACAGCAATGAAATGTATCAGATCTGAGCAGCATGAAATCAACATGTGCAGATCAAACACCTTTAAGAAAATATGTAAAGAGATGTGGAAAAGTTAAGTTGGAAGTGTTATTGATCTATGTTTAAGTAAAGAATGACAACAGAGATATTGCCATAATGACTGTGCACACCTGATTTAGTTGAAATATGGTTTGTAATTCTCAAATTCATTATATTTTTTGTACTTGATGTAAGTCAAGATAATATGCTTTTATCGCTTTACCTTGTTACTTTTGAAAAACCCCTCCGCCTTCAGTGTTTTGTTGGGAACAGCTAAGAAGCGCAAGTCACTGTAGAACCGTTCAAATACACAGCGCATATTGGTGGCATTGATGTCCAGAGCCTGGGAGAGAAAACATCAGGAATCAGCTAAAACTGCACTCCAACTTTAAACATATCTTGGTTGTTAAATGTTTTCACTGAGTATCTTTAGTTGTTGATTAGCAATTGGTGCACTTTCAAAGTTTTGCAATGCATACAAAGTATATCTTTGATAGCCAAATGACACTGAAATTCAACTGAATTGTTTGAATTTTTTGTTCATATCAAAGTCAACTTGTAACTGGACATGTGGCCTAGAAAGAAGAAAGGTTTTTTATTTAACTATTTATTTATTTATTTGTGCAAATACCTGTGCTACAATGTTCTTAAACTCAGAGACAGTTTGGTTGAGGTAGGCTCTCACACTGATGGGAGCATCAATGGTCTCGGTATCGAGGTGAACCTGATATACCTTCACAGTCACACCTAGTTAAGAGATAAGTAGGTCAAGTAAAAAAAAAATTACTGCTAAATAAATTTATAATGTGCTGTTGAAATATCCAGTGCCATAAACAATCACATTCCCTTCCAAGATTCAGTTACATACAGAATTAACATAAATTTAAAACAGAAAAAATGTACTGTGAAAACAACAGTGAACTGACCTCCAGGTTTGTAAGCTTGGAACTCCTGATCAGGTCTCTTGGTTTCCAAAAGCAAGTCAAACATATAAGTTGTCTTCACCCCTCCCAGCAGTGTGCTCATGGGGGTGTCCTCTTCCCCCTCAAATGACTTCTCCAGGGAGTCGTGGAACTCATCATACTTCACCAAACGGACACAGTCAAGTGGGACTAACTCCTCTAGCTCCATTAACTGAGCAAAAGAGTTAATTAAGTTTTGTTAAATTTTCTGAACAATGACTACAATGATACTATAAATAAGACTTAATCATACAAACAAACTAAATTATGCTGCAAATCTGCATAACAATTCCTGCATAAAAAGCTTTTATCATAGTCACTGAATGTTCATTTTCATAACCAGTTACAAGACAGAGAAAAAAGTCTGCTATTACCTTCCAAGCCATTTCTGTGGCCTCCTTCAATGTTTTGTCTTTGTGGACCTCTAGCTTGGTCTCCATCTGCTTCTTCTGCACTGGATGCACACAGAACAACTTGATCTGAAACAACGTAGTCAAAGTTATGTCACCCATGCTGAGTTATCATGTCTGCAGAGAGCAGCAGACTTCTCCTGGAGCATTATGGAACCTGGCCTATGATCTGTTATGGTCTGCATGTTTTTTTTATTTCGTATTGACTGTTGTTTCTTACATATATAACCTATACAAAACAAGCTGATAACAACCCCCGTCTACCCTCCGTAATGGTATTTGTAAGTCTTCTTGATATAAAATTTACACTGTGAAAAAGAAAATAATTCTGAACTATATCACAAACAGTGTTACTTGACATGTTATTTGTACCCTCAATTAAAGCAACTGCATGCATGAACAAAAACTTGTCTGCATGCACAGCAAAGCTTATCACTGGGTCAGTGTGTTGCACTGGTTTGGATAGTTCATCCCATAACTCTGGCAAATGGTCACACGCTTTGTGTAATTGTATGTCTTAACTTTTTGTCATTTCATCTTTTTGCCATCATATCTTTTTGTCATTACTGCCAATATCATACACAGTATTTTCTTTAAGACTTTGATAATTCTTGATTCATAGTTGTATGGTGATGTTTTACATAATTTACAAATTACAATGCATTGATTATTTACAAAGGAAACTAATAACTATGCACAACAAGCACATCCTCACTTAAAAAGAAATTTTCTTGGTCAAAAATTCCAAATAAGACATGCTTGTACTCAATACAAACAGCAGGCTGAAACTGGCAAACAGTCATTGCAGACTTCTTTTTATTAAGTTAACTATGTTAGTTACAAAATCACTATCAAGCAAGTAATGGTTTTCCATGTTAAAGTGACAGGGAACCCTGTGTAAGAGCTGTTATATTCTGATATTGACATTTGTTCACATGTGGGGGATGTTCTATACTCCAGGCAGTGAGTAATCTCAAGGAATGATTGAATGTGGTTTAGCTATCGGAAGGGGGGAAGGAGGGGGGGGTCTACAGTGCAGCCCCATATTAAAACTACTTAACAAGGTCTTTTTTTACCATATCAGGGCCTATATCAGCATCCAGTGTAGATATCATTGCAGCCATATATAAACTACTAGTACAGGACTTCCACTTAAAGCAGAAGTCCAGGCTACACACTTCACAGTTCAACCAATGTGAAGGCAAGCAGTATAAATATACATCAATCATCAAGTAATATCAGTGACACGCTGGAAATTATGCTACTTCAAACCATATTAGAGTCATACCAAAAGCAGCAAATATCTTACCAATCCGTAGCTATCTGCCATTCTGGGACTAGAACACATGTGCAGCCTACCTTACAATACACCTTATCCACATTATCCTTAAGTCTTTGTACCTCTTCCAGCTCTTTTATTATGTCAAAACCATGGGGCTAAAATGGGGAAAATGTCTTGGAACTCTTGAGGGTTTTTTTTTGTCGATTTGAAGAAACAAATGTTTGGGTTTGGGCTTTGGTAAGGTTGTAAGTTATACAATAGACATACAGTATTTCAAAACCTGAATAATGTCAAACACTTTCAGTGTTGTTGTATCTACAGAAAAAAAATGTTGAATAAAATGTAATACTCATATATTTCATTATGGCACAAGGATTATTGCTGGAAAGCAAAAGCCAAATTATAGTGGTTTTTTAAAACATCAAAACATGGTAATTTATTACAAAGGTAGGTTCTCAAATTCTTAAAGAGTTCCAACTTCTTTAAGAGGACACTTATGCAAGAAGTTGCTATGAAAAAAATATTCCTTACTATATAATAGCTATAATTATGTATAATGTAAATATCAGTGTTGTGTACCTTGCACATGGACTTCTCCATCTCCTTCATCTTCTTGTCTGTCTCCTCCTTGTTCTTGATTGCATCCAGCTCCCTCTTCAGGTGATCAGGAAACTCACTCACCTGGATGAAGTCTGCATTGTTCTTTTTGTCAATTTTCCTGTACATCAACATGTACGCATTGGTGGAGCTGAAGCAGCAGTAGATTTTTCAGAGCATTTTTACTATTATTATTATCATTATAAAACTTGTGAGAACTATCCAGTTGATGTTTCTTCAGTGAAGATCTTGCACCATTTTCTCCAAGAATCAGCCCGTTGAATTAGCCTTACAAATATATTTCTATCTGGTATGAGAGAGCTTCTCCATGAAGTTATTGAAGTATTATTTAGTCCGTTATCTTTAGAACTCTTACCTGGTGTAAGCAGCAGAATAATATCCCCTAGAAGCACTAGAACCTCCATATGTCTTCTTAATGTCATCATATGTGATCTACAAGTATAGGAATATACAAAAATTAATTTGCAAAAATTCGATTACAAATGTCTGCACAACATCAGAAATTGTAAAGATTGCAGTAGAGAAATATATTTTAGTTAATACAACAGTTTATCATAAGCACAAACAAATCTGCCACCACTCTCTTTACCACTAAGAAAACAAACATAAAAAACTGCTCAAATCTCTTTGCACTTACAGTTGTGACATGCTGATCATTAAAACTGTACCAGCGCCCATCCTTCAGGTTTCTGAAATCAAAACTCAAAATTAATTAACAACCCAAATGAAATAATGCCTTAAGATACAGCATAAGTATCAAGAAATGTTGTCTTTCTTCACCACTTGTTGCAATAAGGGTGTATATTGGTCGTAATTTTAATAGAACCATTATTACACATTTATACCATCATAGCCCATTCATTAAGCTGTCTCAGCCTGTATTAATCCAATACTCACTTTATGTAGGCATAGTAGTGCCCTCCAGCTGCACTTCCCGAGTGGATCATAATGGAGAACAGCTCATAGACATAGGGACCCTGGGGGAGAGACAATACCCTATGATTCTTTTAAAATTAATGGACAGTGTACGCTTGGACTGAGGTTAAGTTTCTTTTACTTTTTAATGTACCATTTGACATGAATTATTAATATTTTTTTATTTCTAAAGTCAAATTGGCAATTTAAATGAACATGTCGTCAAGGAATTCATTAGAATTGGAAATTCATTTTAATTTATCCAAACATAAATGACTCATTGCTTGAGTGCAGGCACTTGTAGAGAGAGAACATCAATATACAGTGTATTATTCTAAAATTGTGACATGCTTTTCAAAATTCCACTTGCATTTGAAGTTGTATATAATGGACAGAAAAAAGTGCATAAACAGTGCATGTAGGCATTGTCCTTTTGGTTTGGATTGTAATATTTGAAAACTTCTATGTACTTTCCATACGTATCTACAGTATCTTTAGCTGGATTTTTGAATAGGCCATTTCATTAGGGGTTAGATTCATAAAAAACGTAAGTCTAAGTTTGCTCTTTACCTTTAGAAAGAAATATAACATAACCCATTTCTTAGTTTTTTAGAAACATATCCCACATACTCAATTTGGTGGACTACTACTAAACATTCAGACAGACTTTTGACATACAATTTCTTGTGAAAGCAACCAAGGCTTATAAACGTCTTGTAGGCCAAAAATGTCTCTTTCAACCAATCCATGTGAATATTTAAATAAACACATGCCAGGGTGAACATACATCATTAGTAAGGTCTCTTGCATTCCGGTCATTGGCCATGGCCTCAGAGAGGCTGGACGGGTCACTACTGACACCAGTGCTGTCCACATCAATCCCCTCATCTATTCCTGAAATATCAAAATAGGTGCATACTTCAGTCACAGTCCATAAGTACATTAGTATCAGCAGCTGTGAGAGTGGCACTAACAACACGGTGCAATCTCCACACATGAATGCAACTGCATATCAAAAACATCAGTTTTCAAACATGTAACTCACATATAGCATACAATCACAACACAAATTGATAAATCGTTCTTTATCAGTCTATGACCTCACAAAATCTGACAGGATACCATCAAGTTTTATCTACAGGTACTGAACAATTTATCTTCAAAGATTTAGTGTAAGGGTATGATTGCACACAGTAATAAAACAAACTGTGGAGGTTATATAAATCAGGATTCTAAAACATGTAAACCACCTTATAATATTTCTACTTTGATACCAGTTTTCAAAACAAAATGCATAGAATAAAGAATAGAGCAGTGAAAGAGCATCAACATTTACTAAGAGACAGAAAGAGAGTGCAATAACAGAAGGTGCATCAAAAAATAGAGGTTCATGAAAATTTTGCAGCTCACGGTTGGCCTGTGGACTACCTTCATCCACTTTTTCATTTGGTGCAGCCTCCTCCTCTCCCACTGGGCTCTCCCTGGTCTGGGCAGGGGCGCTCTCCCCCTCCTCCTCCACTGTGGTCTCCTCATCCCTCCCTGCCATGGAGCTCTCCTCATCACCTCCCTCCTCTGCCACATGATTGGCTGCCCCCTCCTCTGTCTCCACCAGATGGTTGAGGTTCAGAATCTCGGGGAAAGTCATCCTGCAAAGAATGGGTAGGAGGGATATTATTTACATTCCCTAATATACTGACTGGACAGGAATGATATCTTTAAGGCAGGTAATTATACAGTACACAATGAAATACAGGTGTTGGCAGTGAGGCAACATTACTAAATGTCTATATCATTACAACTTGTACAAAAAAGTGTCACCTGCAATTTCTGGGAATGCACAGAAAACAATAAGTTGTAAGCCTTTAAAAATTTTTGCCACGTACAGTGCTAACAGATATTTAAAACATTCATAATTTTAATCTAATCTAATCAAAGTTGTCCTGCAGTTCTACTAGTTTCATAACTTACTTGTCATTGAGCTTTATCCTGTGCATGGTGCTGTAGTCGAAGTCAAATCTTTTTAGTTGTAAGGTTAGCAGGTAGGGGAAACTAACAAACCTAAGCCCCTTGTGAGCATCACACTTCTTGTTGCATTTTTCACAAAAATACTGATTGGCACCATCTAAAGTCTCAAACTGGACAAAGGCATCCAGAGCCTCTTCCTAGAACATGTCATTTATATCATATAACAAACACAAGCATATGCAGAGAGAGAGAGAGAGAGGGAGAGAGAACAAATATACTCAAAAAATTTAAGTCATTCAATAAAACTATATAAAGGATCATAAACCCAAAAGTACTTATGAATATTTGTAAAACACTTACCACACTGCCATATGCCTGTGTTGAGCCAAAGGGACGTATAACTAGGGGGATATCAAGATAGGCATCTACTCTGGCACTTTCATTCTTACACTGCAATAAAAGGAAGTTCAATCATGACATTTAGGTGACCAAATGAAGGTGATAAATATTCTCACTCCTCACCTCACCCCAAAAATAATGGAGCAGCATTCAACTCATCCACGAGTCCCATGAGATACTTATGTTCCAGTTAAGTTAGTCCAGACTTATCTCTTCCTCTTACTTCACAAATGAACATTGTACTTAATTTGGTTTCCCCGATCACCTGTGATGATAAGATCTTTATAACACAAATAATAAGTCCAATCGTAAACACAACTTTTACCTCCATACACATCACATAGTCCTTCAACTTGCCCTGATACAGGTGATTGATAAGGTCAGCTTGGTCAGTGTTCTTCCACTTGGTTTCCAAAGCATCAAACATCACCCGGCACAACTCTTGAACATCATGCTGCTGCCAGGCTGAAATACACAGTACACCAACTTTGAATAAAGAAACATCGGGAAAAAATCTTTCTTAAAAAGTAGTTTGTCAGACATCATTCATTTGGTGCCATATTAAAGGTTAATTGTTCCCTTCAATCCAAGAATTTCTACAACTGTGGAAGGAGGTCCGAGACTCCCTTTAACAAGAAACCAGTACAGTGTGTGCTACTTATACAGCTGTTGCATTTCTGTCTTATATCTTAAAACAGTATTATAGCTGTCAGTGTTTCTTTTGGCTTACCTTCACTGCTATCCCAGCCAAAGCTCTTTGTTAGGTCTGTAGTCTCTATAGCTCTTCTCTTGCTAGTCTAAAAAGATATGGTGAACCACAGGATCTTAATCCAAAGAAGATTTGCTTTACACATGAAATAATATATCTTTGGTGATATCTATGATCAACATATTACTGTGGGCATAAATATTCAAACATTTTGATTTAATATAAAGACTTGCAGTAGTTAACTTTATACTGTAATTTATTTATGAAATCATAAATCATACAACACAGTGATTACACTCCTTCCTACCTGGAGTTGTAAAAACAACTTTTGAAGCTGAAAGGGTATGTTCTTGGCTGGGTCCTTCCCATCACTCTCCCACCTGGAAATAATGATTTTGAAAAAAAAAAACTTATCAACATTGCTAACAAAAATATAGCAATCAGAAATTTCAACTGAAATAATGTTAACTTGCATCTTTACTGATTAAAGTGATTACAGCAGTATCACAAATAAATCAAAATATGTGCATTTAAAGACAAATGAAGTTCTAAATAACCATTTGAGGTTAAAAATGTAAGCTTTTAAACAGAAGGCAATGTATTATGTATCTTATGTCACAGGGTTAACTCCTACCTGTAAACTGCATTTCTAAACTCTGGTGTCATATAGAGAGTTTGGATAAGACTGTTCAGGTAACAGGTCATGGCCTGGTTCACCATTCCAACATAGCCTGATATGTACAAGAGATACATCAGAATGTTGAACAAAAATCCCTGCAGTGATTAACATGCACCTCCTTGATGGTTAATACTCAATCACTAACCCTGAGAAGGGCTTATTTACCCAGAGTACATTATTTACTATATAAAACATGTTAATAAACAATATGTAGGTTTACACTCTTATAATATGCATTACTTTTCACTTTACCTGTGTCAGACTTAATCAGTGCATAACTATAGGCAGAATAGTCTGTGGAATAGCTAGATGAATAATTTGTGGTTGAACCATAGTTCGTGCTTGTATGACTGTCTTTGTTGTCTAAACTGGTTGAGGAAGAATATCCCAAACTCAGATTGTCTAAACTTGTTGATACACCACTTTCACCCTTAAAACAGATGAAAAAATGATAAAAGATTTGTCATATTTTATCACAAGACGAAAAAAGTATCTACACTTTAGTAAAACGGCATTCTTCTAGTCCCACATTAAGGGGTGTTATAAATCTAAAAATGGCAGTGTGATGTTTATGATGTGCATTAAACAAATAACTGTATCTTAACAAGCAAAAAAGTCTGAAAAACAAAATTTCATAAAATATATAATGTAATTTGTGACCCCAACTTACTTCAATTCTCTTTGGTGGTGTGTCATCTTTCTCATTCAAAGTGAAGTTGTTTTTCTTCCCATTACCAACATCAGCACAAATGTCTCGCAATCTTGACCCTTCAACTTCATTTAAAATTACCTATAAGTAAACAGATATATTCAAATTGCTGCATAAAGCTTCTTTCCAAAGCCGTCAGAGCGAGCTCGTAATTTTGCAAGCCAACACAGTGGTTCCACTGATTACTGTAGTTCACCATAGACAGCAAATCTGTTCCCCATCTTGTCCTACCATCATTACGAAGTCAAGTTCTGTGTTGCTGGAATGACTACCTATTGTGAGCCAACAGATATCAAAACTAGGTCAGATTTTGGTCAAATCAACTTGTCCAACAGGAAGATCACAGGCAAGGAAAAGGGTATATCATTGCTCTTGTAAAGACAGGGATGGTGGAAAAAAAGCTAATTCTTCCTCTCTTTTCTGGTGAAAATGGATTTTAACAAAATCCAACAATTTTACACAGAAGGTTATTCCTATAAAAGCAGGAAAAATGTCTGTTTCTAAAAGCTTGTTACCTGTTCTGTCCTTCCATCTGGTACAGGCCTTTCATAAGTTAATAAAAAAGTGTCTGGAACATAGTTGTAGTGTTTGGCAACATCTTCTATCATTTCTTTGGCTGTCATGGATGCCGGCTGATTGAGGTTGACTTTCTGACATCTTTGGGCATCTGTCATATCACGGAGAATGCACAACACTTTCACATCATCAACATCATCCACTGCCTATAAGGTAATAAATAAATAAATTATGCAAGAATGACAGTTAATGGGGCTGGTAAACTATACTGCTAAAGCTTGAAACTCTACATGAAGGCTTCTAAAGAAAACAAACTATTCCTTGAACTCCTCACTATTTAAATAACATTGTTTTACTTGCACTAGGAACATGTTCAGATTGTGTGCATGAAAATAAAAAATACCAGTCTTCTAATCCCCCACCCACCCATCCTACAGAAAAAAAACAATAATACTAGACACTATTGAAAAAAATTAATGAACCTGATCCTCAAAAAGAAAAGTTAAGAGAATCACACAGATGCAGAGCATCTCAACCATCATTTGATCATGCCTGAGATAATTCTTACAAACATGACTACATAAATTAGTAGTGAGTCTGACTATTGTTATTGTTTTTAAGTCTTAAAATTCCCTTACCTCATGATTATAACTATGCTTTTTTTCATATTTATAGTCGACTTATTTTTAGTATCAGTTAGACTCTGACCTTTCTTTCAAAAAGCCTGTACACCTACCTATTTCACTTAACATATGGTTTTATGTTGACTGTTCGAGGACATCCACTTTTGGTTACCCATCATAAGTGAACGGTTATACTTAACAGAATGATCTTAGCTTTGCAGTGAACTGATTGAGTTTATCAGTTTTTATAGTAAGTACTCTTTGGCAGATGGCAATCAAATAGGCCTGTTGGTTCACTTTAGTGTGTAAATATAAGACAGGTCTTCAAATTCTTCCTGTTACAGTAAGAAAAGAAGTAAAAGTGGCAGTATGAAGAGGAGTAAAGGCTGGTTAACTCTGTCTTGGGAAGTGAACTACGAAATGTGTGATAATTCAGTGTGCATGTTTGTTTTGCACTTAGTGAAAATAAACCAGGAAAACATTTTACATCAGAGACTATCAGAGGCAAGAAAGGCGTGTTAAGCAAATTGCTTAAAATTATTGGCAGTGATTCAATATTTTAATATTTTGAGGAAAGAGGAAAACTCCAATTAGGCCAATGTCAGCGACTCAGTTAGGAAAGCTAGGAAAGGGATGTCTCCCTATCATGTTGCTTGTCAGGCGGCTATGTGCTATTACAAGATCTACTATGATACTGGTTGACCATTTTATTAGCTACGGAAGGGAGCGAGTCAAGTAAAGCCTGCCTATTCCGTGACCATACAAAAAGAAAGTCACTCGGCCAGACTTAATACTTAACTGTAATTTCTTCGTCAGACAAAAACACAACAGAATGATGCTTAGATTCTTTACCTGCACCGGCATGGATTCTGTATTCTCGCCTAGAACCATTTCAAAAGAGTTATGTCCGTGATTTCCAATTTTCACGAACAGTCTAACACTTTGAATAATTCATAAATCGACCACATTTTTCAATGAACACTGAACAGGACAACTTTCTCTTCTTCCTAATATGGCGTATGTATTCTCGCGAGATTTCAATTGAAGTCTCGCCCTTCACTTCCTCTTTCCGTCTAACAGCGCAATCCAACATGAGGTGTGTAAAAGTCGTGAACTTGAATCCTACAGATGCACGGAAATAACTCGCCCAAATTGAAGTGTATTTGTCGAATGATATATTTTAAACATTTGTTTTTAATATAATGTCTCTATTTTGTTATGTATTTAAAAGATGATATTGAAATTCATTTGACAATTTCACCTGCCACCACTACTGAAGCAGCTGCTACGTTTTGTGCACTACGACCATAATTCTGAAAAATGTTATCTTTTTATTAGTAATATAGTATAATATATTTCTGTTACTGATCGTTAAGTTAATATTTAAATTGTGGAATAAAAACATGCATTGCACCTTGTAAATTACAGTAAAATCCCAAGGGACACGCTCACTGACGCTGTCAATGAGATCCTTCGAGCGTCAAGTGAGAAAAAGCGCAAGTTCACCGAGTCTGTGGAGCTGCAGATTGCCCTGAAGAATTATGACCCAGCCAAAGATAAACGTTTCTCTGGCACTGTCAAGTATGAGAGAAATCATTTTCTACTATAGACCTGTTGTGAATTCAGGGGTGCTTGATACCTTGCAGGATTTTAGTTTATGAATTTAGAACAGTGAAAATAAGTTTTGTATTGTGTATTTTCTGGCCTCCGTACAATTGCAAATTAAACCGGAAAATGTACATTGGTTTATCCTGGATAAAAATGCATGTCCTGCACGGTCCTTCAATCACATTTTCCAACAGGGAGTCTGGTCGCCAGCCAGGCGGACCTTAACCCAGGGTCTTAAAATAAGTGGGGAGGTCCTTGGGTTCTTATACCCAAGCACCATTACTGTGTTGATATTGATTGGATATGGACCTCCACCCAGGGTCCAGAAAAATAAGTGGGCAGGTGGCGTTATGTTTTTTTTACATACTGTCACTGTAAAAGAAATGATACTGTTTTCATATCAACAAAGGTAATCAAAACCTTGTTTTATGAATGATCTCCCTAAACTAGACTAGTGTATTGGATGCTCTTTAGGTGTAGACTTACCTTTTTAATTAATTATTGGTAATTATTATTATTTACAGATAGATAACTGCTAAAAACTCGGAAGTCAAGGCAGCTTTTTCACCTTGACATTGTTTATTTCAGGCTGAAGCATATTCCCAGACCTAAGATGCGAGTCTGTATGCTTGGAGATGATGCTCATTGTGATGAAGCTAAGGCCAATGATATCCCCTCCATGAATGCTGATGATTTAAAGAAGCTGAACAAGAATAAGAAGTTGGTCAAGAAGCTGGGTAAGAAATTTCAATAAACAGCAGAATAGCTCCCAAATATTTGTTAAATTTCCTGTAAGTTGAATATTTCGTTAACTTGGTGGTGGTTTGTCAGTTATAATGACTTTTAATAAGTTTGTTAATTTAAAATTAAAAAATGTTGGGTAGTATTTTTAACTTAATTTTACCAAGTTAAGTGCACAAAGTGAAAAATGGTACTTTTCAGTGATGTGAAAAACGTGTAACCTGAAACACATTGTAGAATTATTCAATGCTCTAGAATTTCTGAGATTTGATACCATTCAGCATTTTTTGATGGTCAATTAATTAGAATGCAAAGGTGACGTTGATAATATAAATGACTTTTCATCAGACAGTGGGATTCTAATCTTTCCAGCTAAGAAGTATGATGCTTTTTTGGCATCAGATTCTCTGATCAAGCAGATCCCGCGTCTGTTGGGTCCAGGTCTAAGCAGAGCTGGCAAGTTCCCCACCCTTCTCACCCACAGTGAGCCCATGACTGGGAAGGTGGAGGAAGTCAAAGCCACCATCAAGTTCCAGATGAAGAAGGTGAGGAGCCCATCATTTGTTTTTGAAATTCGAAGTAAAATTTATTTCCAATGACATATTTTGCACCTTATGCAACTGTAATTGTCCAAAGTCGCAGTAAGAATGAAAATGTTATGGATTAGGTTTTTTTTTGGACACGAAATTCTAATGCACAGAAGGTATTTTTTTATGTGTAATTTATTGTTCAGGTATTGACCTTTCTATATTTTGGAACATGAACTATTAATTTGAAAACCATAACTGTGATGAGCAAGCAAAATCAATTACAGGATTTCCGGAGTAAAAACAACTTGATTGTGAACAGTAGTGTTTAGTTATCATGTTGACTCGTATAGAAATACTCTCTTATATTGATCAAACCTTGAGAAAGATATTTGTATGTCAGTTATGTGAAACCGTTTGATAGAAAAGAAATAAGCAGCCCCATTTATTATTTGTAGTGTTGAAGAAACATATTTCATAAAATTTTGTTCGGTTTCCAGGTGTTGTGTCTTGCTGTTGCTATCGGTCACGTAAACATGGCTCCAGAAGAATTAGTGGCAAACCTGAACATCTCCATCAACTTCCTGGTGTCTCTGCTGAAGAAGAACTGGCAGAATGTGCGTGCCCTGTACATCAAGACGTCTATGGGACCTTCACAGCGAATCTACTAGAACTGAACTATTGACTGTGATGTTCAATAAGACATTGTGTAGACCCAGTAGAAAAACATCTTGTGGTCATGAATATGAGTGTCAATTGTCAAATGAAATAAAAGAGAAAATTGTACTCGTTTATCAGTTTCTTTGTTTATAAATGTCATCGTATCATTAACCGCGTTGACGACGCAAAGTAATTTCAGCGTCCGTTTTGTTGTGTGGTGATTCTTTAAAACCTGCATGCAATATTCTGTTGTTACTGAAGACGCGTTTGTGCTGCATACATGTTTTTCATCCTTGCCTCGTCTCTTCAAATATCTAAGTCGATTTTGCAATATTTGTTTTGTAAATATAAATGGTGCGGTACAAAGAAAGAAGAGATCGTCCCGTGTAGCATCACCACCGATCGAATAGTTGCCTAGAACGAATTCTCTGCAATTCCCGTCGAATGTATTATTGCTTACTTCATATGGTAGACAATTTCGAGTATACACTGAACATGATCCAGGTATGATGTTATTAAAAACACAGTGGGAGACAAATTAAAATTTCTCTTAGGCTATCCACTGTATTTACTGAGTTTTCACCTTTCAATTGTTACTGTAGGGTACGACCGCAGGCGCCATAGTTTTCATTCACTAATTACAACTGAAACTTTAATTTGGACTTGGCTTGTAAAGAGGGTCGTAAAAGTTACTGGAAATGCCTTTTCCATGTTGCTAATGCGTTCTTTTTTTATTCAAGCCCGTTTAAAACTCGGCTGAAAAGGGTAAAGTAACATATAACCAAACAACTAAGCTAACGTTCGTTGTATGTTGATTTCAATACTATAAAAAATTCGTGTCAAGTACGAGCCAAAATGTTAGTCCTGGCCTAAGAATGCAAAGACCTTGGAGCCATATACAAAAAGGGTTTCTGAGTTAGAAATCGTGATATTTTTCCATCTTCGTAGTTTTGTCTCCAGTTAAATCATTGAATGGTCAAATATTTGACGACGCAGGCCTGTGGCCAGAAGTCAGAAAGTGCTGTACATATGGTTCCTTGCCTTTGTTCCATACACATAATATAGTCTAAATAATAAATAAAGACTATTGCGACGTAACACAATATTGTTCCAACATATGACTATCTCGTTTACATCTAGAATAAAAATCAAAAATGTTTTACTGAAACAAGGACTCGCGTCAACGTGTGCTCACGTTGAATAATTACTGACTCAAAACCTGGTACAAGAATTTATATACACGAATGTTTGCTACTGCAGCCAGACGCGTCTCACCATCCAAGGGACAAAAACAAAGATAAATTGTGAGGCACCGAAATATGCTTGTTTTACAGCACTGTTACACATGTCTGCATTCTCGCAAAAGCAAATGTCCAGCTCTTCTGTCACCCCACCATTATGCGACACTCCTCGACAACCGGGGCCGGTGTCTATGCCAAGCGTCCTCAAGTACGCCTCTCCCATCGCTGTGACGCAGCGCTTGTAAACGATACCTGTGTTGAAAAAATCAGTGGATTAATAATGCATAGCCTGAAAATAGAGATTTGTAAATTATAAGAATATGATCATTTTCGCAGGGTGTTATCATAGACAAGATGATGATTATTTAAGTTTAAAATGGGAAAATAAAAACGTGATGTATTCTAAACGCTCAGCTGGAACTTGTTGCCGCAGCGCAACTATTGGAATTTAGACCTACCTTGTTTCAGGCTTTTTTGGCACTTGAGGCAACCTTCTTGTGCTGCTATTATTGCAGCGTCATTGTCACAGTCTCTGCACACGTAGCAGTCCATTGCCACGGCTGAAAATTGAGCAAAATATTACTTCTTCACATATTTTCCTCATTTTGTCATATAATCCTTTATGTAATACTTGTGCTCTCGTCGACAGATGCGAATTTGTGTCATTCAAAATGGGTGATACTCTTTTAATGTCTTTTTAAAAACATAAACATTTATTCAGTCAACCATGGTTCCTAGACCATGAAAGGAATTATCTGTTATTATTAAAGAAAATTAATGCAACAAAGTTCAAGGGAAGAGAATAACTCTTACGTGATAGTATTCAGCTGGAGTGCCACTTAATGTGTGCTGTTTAACATTAAAAAACAATTACGACAATCGACAAAATCAATTATTGAAGCTGTATATACACACACAATCCACATGGCTCTTTTCAACTGTTTTAGCTGTTTAATATTTGTTAATGGTTAGTCCAAGTCGAATGGGGTGAAAGTATTGTTCTCTCTGTTTGTAAAAAGAACACGATTGAACGCAAGTCATTTAGTGAGGACTAGTTCAATACATGTCAATGTAGAAGCTGACGTATGTCCTAAACTGGCAATAGGGCCTATATATAAATCAGTATCCTTCAAAACGTACAAATTAAGTACACTCCTTTTTTATGTTCCTGTACGGATATTCTTGGAATTTGTTTTTTTTCTAACTTTCACGTTTTTACCCCTTCTTCGACACATGACCCAAATATTACTTATCGGACTCGTGTTGGAATACAGGTAAATTACGCTACCACCCCGGCATATGTGTGCTACTATCTAGCGTATGTGTATCAATACCATATTGGATGTAAAGGGCCCCGAATGTCCCATTCAGACCTCTTCAGCATGACTACATTAATTTATCAATCTTGACAGAGTCATTGTGATGAAAATGGTGCCACGCCAGCCGAAAGCTTATGGAATTTCAAAATATTAACCAAATGTTGTCTAAATATGTAGTCTTTTAGGATGTCTGTCAGTGTCAGTAGGGATATTTAGCTCTTTCTGAACAGTTGAAATTGCACAGAGCTAGTGGTGCTGACATCTGTAACTGCTACCGTTAATCCGAATCTAATCAACAGTAAAACACGGGTTGTGGGAAAACGTGACGTGCTTTCTGTTTAATTTTAAAGCATAGTGTGTGTGCGTGTGTTAATTGGTGTGCGTGCTGATGAGAGAGAGAGAGAGAGAGAGAGAGAGAATCCTTACTTGTATGAAATGCCGTAAGCACCGTCAAGTAAAAAACCAACTGTGTTTCTTGTCGCAAAGTCATGATTGAAACTTATAATACAGCATCGTCTTTAAACTGTGACTTTCACATCTGCTACGACAGTCAGGATGTCCTCATTTTGTAAGACATCTCAGTTATTAGTATATTCTTTTGCCAGTCTTCTTGTGGCGTATGTCACGGCAACTCCACAGGGATGTGACTGAATACAACCGGAGAGCTTACTATCCACTCTCAAATCACCGGGGTTGACGTGCGTAAAGCTAGCAAGATCTGCGCTTTTGTTAAAACAATGTCGTGAACATAAATCCCTTTTCTTATCGTCTGTGCTGACTGCCACAATTGTAATCGATTGCACCTAAATAACGGAACAAACAAAGTAAAATGTCAAACAACTATATTTATGATGCACAATAAAACTGAGTGTGGAACAAACAGACTTGGATTTACCTTTTTACTTGCTGATTAATGTTGATTTTTGAGAAATGTTTGTATTGTACATAGTCGAGCTGCTTGCAACCATCTTATAATAGGCAGCTTAATTTTGCCATGGTGAAAATTTTCAATAGATCACGTGAACTGGTCTCCCGCTTAGCTCCCAACCTGTTGGAGACATTAGAGCTAGTTAATGTTACGGATACTGGCGGTGTTGAATAAATCTTATCATTTCATTGCTTGCTTTCGAGATTTCAGGGGTCAGCCTGAACAAATAATGGCATAAAACTTATTATTATTTTAAAATTAAATAATAAGATATTCTGTCAGAATGTATTTTTTAAAAATTTTATAATAATTTGCAAATTTATCAGTTCTTTCAAATAAAATTTAAAAAAAGAGAGAGATGCAACAGGCAGTAAAAAACTAAAAGTTAATCTGATCACATGTCGACACAGAAGGAAGTAGCTTTACTCACCTGGTTTGCATCTTGTCAGTGGAGCGTTACATGGTGCTTCTCCCCACTGCTGAACAGACTTGAGCGGCCGCAGCCTGACAGACTCCATGTACCTTGTAAGTAACAGAACAGGGTTTTGCACTTTGCCAATACATAAATCTTGATTATTATGATTTATCAACCTGTTTACTTAACCTTTGAGACATGAGGAGGTTTTTATGGAATCGGACATTTAATATCGCTGCCGAAGTTAACATTCTGAACTGCAGCCGGGTATCTGATCAGTTGTGGTTGTTGCGATATATGAACGAATGCAATAATAGCTGAGAATGTGTGCAAGATGGCGATGTCTCACATCCGACAAATTTCACAGTATAAATTGTTTTGTTTTGAGATGACTTTAGTAAAATATTCAAGATTTAATAAAAAAAAATTGGTTTTAATAAATTTAATTTGTGTTTAATCTGTAGTGGGTGTTTCAGACGTATAAAAGAGTTATTGGCAAGAACGACACAGACTTTATATTTTTGTTTCACGTTTGAACAAGCTTCGCAAGCCCCTAATCCAGGCACTATAAGTACTCCGACTACTGACTCTGGGAGTCTCATTACAGTCATTAACGTCTTTGTGAAGGGCTTCGTATATTGCACTGGTCGCACCTCACATAACCGTGAAGTAAGAGCACAATGAACGCATCACGGAGCAATGAAAGTGAACCAGTGATGTCATTTCAGTAGTTTTATCATTTATGTACGTCCATTAAATTGTATATAGTTCGCATATTCCAGAAAACCACTAAATGGTCGAAACGGTCGATCTCAAGGAAATCTACCATTTAGCACAGATTTAGGCCATTTATTGGTTTTCTGGAATATTGCCTAAACGTTTTCCTAAACGTGTTTGATCTGTCGGGCGGTGATGGCTACACGAAAGCGGCAAATTTATTAATGATGGAAATGGAACCGTTATATGTCTGCAGAAAAGGGTCCAGGTGGCAACGATATTCTGCACTGGTATTTTTGAAAGACATCATTATTTTTCAGGTTGTTACGTGATTATTTCAAAATGGGATATGTGAGAGGGCGTCGGACTGTGCGGGAGCACTTGAAGCCGACACTGCCAAACTAAATGTTATAAACCAGCCAGGCTGTATCTTTCGTGACGTACTGTATAGCGGAAGGAACTCAAGATCACCAGTGAGCCAAAAGTAAAGATTGAAGCCAAGAGGAAGCCAATGTCAAATATTAGAAGAGTTTCAGACCGTCTCACCGACAAATTCGCACCTAACGCGCCTTTCTTCTTCTTCTGTTGTGTTTTTCACTACTTACCAAGAACCCCAGATTTAGAAACACGAAAATCTCTGCGAGCACTGTGACGTCGGCAGGGGCTTCCACCTCTGAGCGGATACATAAACAGACACGGTTCTTCTCAAGCATTCAAGACGGTGTTTCTGAAGAGGAATAAGCATGTGGATTCTTGCTTTACTAGCAAGTTGCTTGGCCTTGCGGTGCTCTGCACAGTTTGATACGGGTAAGATGTGGGGATTAGCGTGAATGTCGTGGATAAAGCTTTTCATTCGGGTATTGCATGCGTTTTATATGAGATCTGCATCTTTATTTTCAGTTTATATTATTTCAAATCAGAATTAAGTTGCAAGCACAGTGTCTTCCAGACAAATACTTTAGAGGATATTAAGAGTTTTGGATAATTATTATTAATTTCGTTTTTTTTATGACTGTATATCATGCAGGTTAATATTCAGAAAGATGCCTTAGAACGACCACAGCTCTTGTTTACCGTTGTTTATTGACCATGATTTGCACCGCGCGCGTTCTCGGACCTGTGTTCTTCAAATAATCAATTCATATCATAGCCATTATTAAGTTTGGTATAATCAGTCTCATAAAACAATATTTGATTGAAATAGCAATGCAGCGTGCATGCAAGTTTTTTCTTTGGATCGGATATGTGTTGTGCTGTGCTGCCGTTGTATTGTGCCTGGCAGCTTTTTTTCTGTCCTGGCACGCACTCACCGAGTGCTTCTATTCCAGTTGCTAGGATGTTTATTCGAGAAAATTGAAATGTGTTTCAGATTATAGCACTTGTTTTCAGCGGTGCATCCCATCCGTATTAAGCGATTTGTCCACAATTTGGGGCGGATGTTTAGGATACATTTCTGGCTTTCTGTTTCCCGAGCTCGGACATTTCCAAATGTAGACCTACACATTTACGAATACGCGAAATTGCAAAGGGTGCAATTTGCAAAACTGCAGTTTTGTCTTTTACACCATGTTATATAACTAGTTTTACGTTTAGATTAGACATTGCCTTGAATGAGAATATCAGTGCTAGACTTTTGAGAAATTTCCAGATAGTCGCATCACCAAGTCAGATTATGCATGCACCATAGCAGCATTTTCTTGCCTCTGTGCTACTTTTCATATTTAAATAGTCAATATATTACAACAAACTTTGTATAATCATTTTAGAAAACGTGTATCAGTGTATTCCACTGGAAGCTCAGGAGGCGCTGTTTAACAAGACGCTGGCGGTGGAGAACGCTGATGATAATGGCAAGCCCCTGTACCAGCTTCTGTATGAAGACGAAAATAACCAGGGCAACACTTACGAACGTTTTCGTAAATACACCTGTACGTATATTACTGTGTTGTCGGACGCGTGTACACGTAATTGAATATATTGTTTAAAGTTTATCAAAGCATTTGATAGGGGGAAAACACGCTCTATGGATACATGACTTCTTGGGTTGTTTTTTATTTTTCCTTTTTGTTACTTTCCCCACAGTGTACGTTGTTTCTAACCATGAGGCGTTTGCCAGCGTACTTATTCGGACTGAAGTGATTTCTGGAGATCCTTCATGCGATGCTGGACGTCTCCGGGGATCTCATTTGCTACAGGACTTCGAAGACTGTCCCTATGTATTGATAAACAAGGACACCCAAAGTAAAAGCAAAGTTGCTTTTCGATGGGTGGCCCCGAGATGTGGTTGCATTAAGATAAGGTGAGCTTAAGCAGAGCCATAGCACTGAACGAGAAGAAATATTTACCGACTTCGATGTCATTTCTAAAGTTACAAAATTTATTATAATTGTATATCACGTCCGAAAAAAATTTTTTTTCTTGTGGGCGATATATTTTCTCGATTTATTCGGTTGAGTGTGCTTTTCAGGAAGACACATGAGAACGTTTTATTTTGGGTACGCATGTTGTTCTTGTAAATGGCACAATTAATAGAGGGCTTGATGTACATATGTGTTTTCTTCTTTTCCAGCGCTATTGTTGTTGGCAGTGAGAAGATAACATACAGAGATGGTGCTCTGACCAAATTCATCTGCGAAAGATCTGGTATCCATTGAACATATGTTGTGATTTCTATATACTGAGACGTTTTACAATGTTCATTTAGATTATATTAGATTTGATTAGTAACATTAAATCAAAATCTGTTGTTTCTATTTTTCTAAAAGTAATATGGCCTGTTTAAATCACTGGACTGTCTGTTAAGGTATTATGGAGTTTTTGTTCGTACAATATATCACGATTACCATTTATAATATATACTGTATTATATGTCCTAATTAAACAGACGAAAGTCCACAGGGAGAGGTTCCCGACGTATTTCCAGAAGAATTAGAAGTGGAAGTTCCAGAGGATTTAACAAGCGACCTACCCTTCAATCCTGTGGATCCGTTGGAACCTTCTAATGACCCATATGTACTGTCATTTAATGAAACCGAAGACCCATTTGAGCCCACTGAAGTCCCACCAGAAGAACCATTTGAGCCCACTGAAGACCCATCAGAAGAACCACTAGAACCAACCGGTTATCCACTTGAAGAGCCATTTAACCCCACTGAAAACCCACTACCTGAACCCACCGATGATCCATATGATGAACCATTTGAACCCACAGAAGATACATTTGAAGAACCAGTAGGACCCACTCAATACCCAGGTGATACGTTTATTTCTGTGTGAAAATAGTTTAATTGGATCTCAGTTTTGATAGTCAAAAAATTTTCATTTATGATAAATCCAGATATTTGATTTACCCGTTAACTGTTTCGTCTGTTCACTCTGACAAACTTGGTCACAACTCATGACCACAACTTGTGACCAAGTCTGTCAGAGTCAACAGACGAAACATTCAACAGGTAAATCAAATATCTGGATCTATCATAGATGAAAACTTTTTGACTATGTTATTATTTCTGTTGGTTATAATTTCCTCTGTCTTCCCGCGATAAATAATAGAATACTAAACAAGTCGTATATATCCTTAAAAGGGATTAGGCATCATAATTGTGTGCAACTTATCCCAGATATTCCAGAATCTCCTTTGTTTCGCTATAAAACTTTCTACATCTTCCCTAACAAGCCCTTTGGAGCTGTCAAATATTAGATCACTATCTTCTGTATGATATTTTATTACAATTGCCAGGTATCTTGAACAGTGCACTAAATAAAGTCACGAGTATTTTATCTCTGAGTAGATTTTACCATTAGTTTGAATCTCTTCTGCACCCCTATCTGACAGTCAAGCGCACACTGCCAAACAACTCGACTTGCACATCAACAACAATATCCTTTTTTTTTTTTACTAAAAAAACATAAATCAAATCACTTTGATATGTTTACCAACTAAATTCAAATAATACGCAAATATCGCTACCTTTGCAGTCCTACCCCTAGCGAGGAAATTATCCAACAGAAGGTCGTATTTCTAAATCCCATGAGCAAAGTACTGAACAGACGTGGGCCTCTCAGAATACAATTGCTTTTTGTAAACGAATTTACGTAGGGAATAAGAAGTTTTTATCATTTAACTGACATTTCATCAACAGATAATCATAAAATGATGACAACATACCTACAGGGCTTCATCCATTGAAAAACAGGTATGAAATTAAATTGAAGTTTATCCTCCAGTGTTCCATTTTTAGGTGCATTTTCTGAAGAGGGTTACGCCGATTGGCTTTACAAGATGCTGGAAAGACACAGGAGACAAAGACATGACGACAGATGGGCTTATCACGGTCGTCGCCCGCATCATCGAGGATGGGAGATGCAACATTATCACGGCTGGGGCCCAATGCATCACCGCCGTCATCCCTCTTTTGGGCATCCTGTTTATCGGCCTTGGTTACCTGCCCCTCCGGTGAATAGATAGAAATGAATAAGTTCATCTTGTAGTGTTTTTCGCTGCCATTTAAATCAAGAAACCGTAAATTTGGTATCGTTGCCATGTTGTTATACTTTTATCCAAACCAGGTAACTCATTAATAACAGATATCATTCGAATGTCACAGTTAAATTAAGTCACATAAGAAATTTGCAACATATTTATGTTCAGTTTATGTTTCCAGTTAGGTGCATGTGAACTAATTCCCCATTCTAAGAAAACTGATCCTATCTTCACACTGTCATTACCAGAGAACCAGTGCCAGTCTCCTGCAATAATTTGATATATACTGTATATGTATTATTAATACTTTAGGTTGGCAATGCCCATCGTCCCCGTGGCAAACACATGGGCTTAAACCCATTCGACATAGGTGACGAAGACGACAAACCTTTTCCTGATGTGGATCCTCACTACCAGAGAGAAAACCGAGAACCGAACGATCTTTCTGATCCTCTTTTTGATGAGGAAGTGGTGGATACCTTTACGCATCCCAGTCACCAACGTAAAGGTGAGTTAGCTTTAAGCACTTGAATATTTTTACATTTTTTATTCATTCGGTCACCGAATTTGTAGATAGCATTACAATGACGTTACCGTATCTTTGCAAGAACAAAATACCAACAAAAAGTGTTATATTGTTCACAAACCCAGATTGAATTTAGTCATTTTTTTTTCAAGGAAATCTGATGACGAAGTGCTGCAATGCTGGATTCACATTTGCAAAGAAACTACCCCGTGGGTCAACGTTTCGGGCGTGTCTGTCAGGGGGTAAACATTTCGTGCGAGCAGTAAAGAGGCAGAAGCTGCTATGCCTGCATAAATTTGGTGCTTGCTGTATGCGCGGGGACAAAAGGTTAGGTTTTGTTAAAAAGGAATAAATTTTGTGTATTTCAAAATCCAAAACATCGCCGCCGAATACAATGTAACGCAAAGACGATGTACCTGTACCTAGAGGACTGATAAAAGCACTCACTCTTGATATTTAAAACATAATTACCTTTCCAGAATATCTACAGATGAGGACACTGATGTAATACATGAAGATGCAACCTTTACTGACGTAGACAAGAGGGTTGAGATAGACACTACTCATGGCCGCTTTGAGAATGTCCAGGAAAAGTACCCGGATTTGGATAACGACGACCAGGAGACAGAATATAACCAGGATGAGGATGACGACAATGAGGAAGAAGAGGAGGACGACATAGACGAAGATGACGAACAAGATATGTTACCTGAACAGGGCCGTAAAGGTACGGAAATTGCTTAAATCTCGTTAATGAAGTGCTTCGTTTAAAAGGACACAGGTGCTAAATTGTTAATTCCAATTATTGGCTTTCCTCCAGAAACTCAAGTCATCACGAGTGAATTCTATGAATATATTTTACCTTAAGTCCTACACAAAATTATTTAGATTACTTACTTAGAGGTTTTTTAAAGGGACAACAATTTCATTTTGACGGGAAAAGTGCTATAAAATGGGGTAAACAACAATTTCCCCATACTTACCAATGGTTAAAAACCCCGTTCTGTAATTCAATGTTAATTGATCGTTTTTTTAACAGTTAGTTTTAGGATGGTGGCAAACAGTGATGGTTCACTATCTCGCCATATCCGTATATTATGATAAACCGCCGTTTTCGTGGTAAATGCAATTACATTTTTATATGTATTTATTGTGAAATTTTGAATCTCATACGAAGAGTCATCATCCTTGTAAGGGAATATAAAATGATATTTTGAAGCACGTTATATTTCAGATGACCTTCTGAAGAAGTGCTGCAAAGACGGATTTATATCTGGCAAAAGACCAGGCCGTGGACCAGTGGTCAGGGCTTGCGTGTCAGAGGGCCACAGATTTGTGCGAGAATGGAAGAAGCCGTGGCAGAGATTGTGCTTCAGAAAATTCAAAACTTGTTGCTTGATCGCCGCCAGAAAAAGGTGAGGATAAACGCACCCGCTTTACACTCACAAAATTACTATCTGTTCTTCTGGATATTAAAAACATTGCATTCCCAGAGATTTAGATCGATCCAGAAATTTAGATTTAGATCGACTTCACTCCCTGGGGGTTCACGCTAAATTGCAGTCAGCCGAGTTAATTACCCCATTACAGCTTTAAGTAGGCGGGACAGACGCTTAAGCCGGCTAAGCTGACATTAATCTAGTGAGACTCCCCACAGGGATAGATCGATCTAAAATCTATGGGAATGGGGTCTAAAGACAACCATTGAATAGATTGCTATTTATCGTGCATCAAATTGAGTATATCATAACAGAATTATATCACAGTACGTGAAAAGATCAGTTAGAATTATTAACAATGTGGTTTTAGATCTCATCATCCCCGGAGACGACCTCATCATCGCAGAAGACCAGGCCCAAGACCACACCCGCGGCCACACCCTCGCCCACGTCCCACTCGAGAACCGCGTCCAACTCGTGTGCCTCGGCCGACAGATAGACCTCACCACCGCAACTACACCCACCGACCACACCACCGTAACCATACTACTCCTTTTCCAATGGAAACCACAGATACCGGCCGTTCTCAATATCGTCATCACACCACTCCGGTCCTCCTCCCCACAACTTTCCCCGCCCCGACAACAGAGCCCTCTGTCGGTAAAACTGTGGAAGATTTCGCCCCCATAGCCGACGAACAAGGTGATCCTGAGTACAATATAAGGAAGGATGATCAAGAACCAAAGAAATTATCCAACAAGTTGCGTCGTAAACTGAGGAGAAAGCTAAGAAAATTGAGGAAGATGCACTAAAAGGACATAAACAAGAAAAACGGAAAGCAATCCGATTAAAATGAAATGACTTTGAAAAGTTTTAAAATCCAACAGTTTCCGTTTTCGTGATGATTGTAGAAGTACAATGATTGACTGACGAACCCGCACGATTCATGCAACTTTTCCTCTTAATGGCTACAATAAAGACATGCAGAACGTTATTTAAGCGTCTATCGGTTTATTTCTGTTTAACAAGAAATTAAAAAGCAAAAAAATGAATTCAAATTATGGTCAAGTTATGAGGAGATTAAGTGTAAAAACGTTATGGTGTTGGGCCATGCGTTTCTTTGTATCATTGCAGTACAAAGTATTGGTTATACATGATTCGCCACAGATTTTGTGAAATTTAAAGATATATCAAATGTGACAGGGTTGAGATAAATTTGACAATTCTTAATATCCACAACAGACGTTCATAAATGTTTTTTGACACAAAAATGTGGTGGAAATTCCTGAAAAGTCACACTCTGTCCAGTTTTTAAGGCATCCTCGGACGGGTTCTTCCTATATTTTTTAAGAATTCTTTTTCCCAACCATAGTAGGTATGGGTCGTGGTCATCTTCAAGTTTATCCACGTAAGTTGACACGACGCGCTCCATCGGGTGTCTAACCATCATGAACTTCAGATAGTTCTGCATACGATATATCCTCCCGTACTCGTTGAACCTGGCAAAGGGGGTGGGTGACAAAGGAAAGAACCCTCATGTGAACATCTTCCTGCGATAGACTTATCGCTTCAGTGTAATTATAATTATGGGTCAAATAGAGAAGTAACTTTTTGCAGTTAGTACAGCCCACATGTATATGTTTTATGTAGATTATTATAAAGAAAAGAAAAGTACTGAGTGTGTTTGCTAAGTTTCAGTGCATTGTTTATGTATGTTTGTGTAAGCTTTGCTCAAATCGTATTTGTAGTAGGATTTATTATTAATGACCAATCAGATTTAAGTGATAGATACAATACGAGTCGCCGAGCTGTACGTGAAATATTACGGGTGTATTGGCGAGCCGCAGGCGAGTGCAACAGACCGTGGAACGCACTCGTACACGACGTGCTTGAATGTCGAATACAGCACGGCCGAGTCTTTTGTTCTACGCGCTAGCCGTGGTTTGAAGTATTTTCTCCGAAATTGATCCGGCCCTGTTTCCAATTGAGCTGTCTGTACGTCGAGGAATGGCTGCCGGTGGCCGTTCATAAGTTTCATCTTTCGCTAACGTCTTAGTATGAATGTATTGTGGATCTGTAGCTGGATTAAACATGTTGCTAAACCATGGGCCCCTTTCAAGGGTAGAGACGTACAGTCATACGATTCCAAATCGTTGAAACGACTTCCAATTCACTTGGGTGTCATCATTCTAGAGGACAACATATCTTATATAGACATTGCAAACATAATTATATGGTGCATGACACTAGGTATATCATATATATCTGTTTATGATAGGAAAGGTGAGTACATTTAAGTGATGAGTAGTCACTTTTATGGCTTAAATTAATGCACAATTTTCGTCAAGTTGCTGACATGCGCTGGTCTTATCATACAGATTAGATCATAAGCTACCTAACCCAGAGAGAAAGTAAAAGTACGATTTTGTATCTGTCACACATGCGGTACACAGCTGTAACGTACGAGACATGTGACTTCCAAATATAAAAGAGTTCCAGGCATAATGTTGCCGAACACGCCCCCAGTATGCCGCTGGTGGCTAGAGTCGGCTGATGTGGGTTATATATGAAATCGAGATCAGGCTGGCAATACCGAAATCTAGGACCTAGGGTAATTTTCCAGTGATCATCACCTAATATTTATTGATTAAGTATGATTCTAACATCCCAACTGGATTTATGACTAAAATTTTACGTTCATGGGTTAATATAGTCTTTTGCAAACTGCTTCTTTTAAATAAAGATCACTAGGCCTATTATTTACAAGTGTTGTCATTTGGCTCCAGGTGTAATCAGGCAAAACCAAAAACATTTAGCAGAAGAAATACACAAAAGGAAAGAAGAATTATATAAAAAACGACGAGAATCATTTAATATAAATGTATACAATGGACTGTATGATAGTTCGAAATATACAGGTGGGACAATTTGGAATTTGTACTGGAATCTTTTTTATGACTATTCTTGTAATACTTTATTTACAAAAGTCAGTGATAACTACAGTATATGCAAAAAGTAACCTGAAGTGACCTGCATGGTCACTAGTCAGTGAATGAATATTAGACTCAATGTAGTATACTTTTTTATTTCAAGCAAACACATATGCAGCCAAAGCAAATAAAAAAGGATAAAATTCCTTTTGGACTAGTTTTTTCTGTTTTTGACAATCATTTTTTANTATATATTACTGTAGACTTAAAACTGGTCTATGATCCCAAAAGCTAAAGCTGCACTGCAAATGCTGTTTAAGTTAATCTTTATTTTGCTGTGAAATTTTCATTCATTAAAGGACCATCCAGTAGTAACAGCTCAGATGTTCAGCTGCTGTCTGAGGAGGACGGCCAGCTCAGTCTTGTTCAGGTAGCCAAAGAAATCAGCAAATCAGTGAAGGAGAAAAGATGGAAGGTAGAGGATGTATCCCTGCAAAATGTAGAAAATTACCTACTAGGTATTTTTTCTTTGGTGTTTTGATTTTTATTTTCAGTAAGGTAACAGAACGGAGCATGCCTTGGATTAACTATCTCTATTTCAATTTTAACATTTAAAAATTGTTTTTTTACTTTTCTGCATATTATTTAATGTAAAAAATATTTTAATTGTTAGTTTAACAGCATATGTTTTGTACATGTAATTTCACTCTGTCATACTTTTCGATCTACTGTATCATATAAAGCATATATCAGAGAGACCTACACTGGTTCCAACTATGATTGACCTTTGTCAATATTTTCCTTATTTTTTGTTTCAGAAAAGTCACGTTTTCCAGACCCTGATCTAGTGATTAAATTTGGTGCTGCAGAATGTTTAATGGGATTTCTTCCATGGCAAATTCGTCTCACTGAGTTTTTGTAAGTTGTCATTTCTTGTTATGGAGATTATGAATTATTTGCTAGGTATACATTGCAGTTGCATTTGTATTATTATGTACTATTTCTATCATATGTGCAGTATTAGATACATAATTTATTCACTAGATCAATGCTTTGTATTTGATCATGGAGAGAGATTCCAAAACCCATGACTTTGGATATAACCACAACGTATAATTCCTTTTGGAACAAGGGATCTACAGAATATATGGCATCACACTTAAAAGACATTTTGATCATGTTTTCAATGCAAGAATTGACCTTTTGCACATATTGATTCAATATGGTGTATGCTCTATGTTGACATTTGTGATGATGTTTCTGCTGCTCTATTTCAGTGTAAGTCCTTCCCACAGAGGTCTCTCCTATAAGACATTCCTATCCCTGTTACAAGACTATGGGAACACACGGCAGCGGTTTGGGAAGTGACGGCCATCACATTGTCACAACTCCTGTGTGTATGTTTACAGATACAATGAATAGTATATTATATCAAGTCTGAATACTCCAGAATGTAATGTGAATCTTGAAAGATTACATTTTGAAGGATAATAGTGATAATGTTTGAGGTACAGATATTTTTTGTGTATTCTTTTAAGAATAATGCATTATTAAAATGATGCAGGTTATTTACACACTGTGCACAACTGCAAATACTAAGAAAGGATTTATATTTTGAATTATACATTTCATTAAGCCCAATGGTCATATAGAAACATTTGTACAGGTTTACATCGATCTGATCTGTGTTTTGAACATGTAGGTTCATTCCTTATTTGGATCTTATTGACATCATCATGGTGTTTCTTTATACAGTCTGGAGAGCTTTGTCCAGTAAGTTCACTTGATATGTATTATTTTATGTAGTATCCCAAAACGTTATCAAGAAATAAAAATTATCGCTTATACAATGGCATCAAATCCGAATAAAGAGGAAAAGGTTTAACACTGAGGAGGAATCGGGACTGTATTAAAATGCCCGTTGCAACTATGAGAGCTGTTTTTATCTTGTAACGGTTAATGAATGTTTGACGGATAGACCTCACCACCACAACTGTACCCACCGACCACACCACCGTAACTGTACCCACCGACCACACCACCACAACTGTACCCACCGACCACACCACCGTAACTGTACCCACCGACCACACCACCACAACTGTACCCACCGACCACACCACCGTAACTGTACCCACCGACCACACCACCGTAACTGTACCCACCGACCACACCACCGTAACTGCACCCACCGACCACACCACCACAACTGTACCCACCGACCACACCACCACAACTGTACCCACCGACCACACCACCGTAACTGTAACTGCAACACATGCTATATATTAAAGTAGATCAGAGTAATGTGTGCAGTGAGATGTGTTCACGTGTCACATGACTTGCCCTACAGGTATATATTTGAACTCCCGCTCTGACATTCCATTCAGTTTAGCGACACGGTCTCCCCGGACCATATTGTTTTACGCTTTTAAATCAGTTTTTATTAGTTTGTATCACTTTTTCATCAGTTTACGGAATTCAGTGAAATACAGTATGTGCACCCCAAGAACGCTTTTCGTGTTTTCAACGAATACATTACAGTCACGGCAACAGTAACCACACTACTCCTTTTCCAGTGGAAACCACAGATACCAGCCGGTCTCAATATCGTCATCACACCACCCCGGTGTGAAAGGAATGCATGTCCCCCAGGAACGGAGGTCCTACGGACCTCCATTCCTGGGAAAACATGTCCTATGGACGTGCGTTCCCTAGGATGTACTGTCCTACCCGGACCTAGATTCCCAGCTGTATTTATACGCAGCTAGGACATGTATTCCTGTCGGACATAATTTCCTTTCACATATACACAGAAACGCAAGTCCTACATAATTAATGTCCGTACAATAATTATAAACACGGGGCCATAAGCATCGGTAATTTTCAGTCGGCTGGCAGCAGCTTCCACACAGGCTCATCAGTAAGACGGCTGGATGAATAACCAAGAGCATAGAGAAACGTAAGTGAGTTCGAATCCTCAGCAGCGATGTTACTCTATATACAAATGTTATCCTAATTCATTCTCCATTTCAACGAACAAAACGCACTATACAATTTGTTATACAATTTGGATTATTTTGATGAGGCGAGATTTTAAATGTTTGATTTAAATATCATCATTTTTTTAACGTTGAGCTATTTTAGAATTCCTTTAATAACTCGAATTTCGGATAATTATACGCAAAAGAGCATATTCTTTCTACTTTCACCTAAAAATACAAAGAATTAGAATGGGAAATTCGGGATCCATATGTAAGGGAAAAATTGCGCTCAGAAGACTAATAGTAAAAATGCATGTATAAAAAATAACAGACACATTCAATTTATTTATCTAACAATTATACACGTTTCATTTACAGTCTTAAACTGCATATTATGTCTCTCAAACTACAAATATTCCCAATGATCATCAAGGCACCAAGAAAAAAAAAGAACTGTCACCTAAACGATATGTATACCAGTACCAGAACAGCTCGAACGTGATCGAGAAGTGTTCAACACGTACTTGTAAGCAAGTATATCGCGAGAGGGCGGCTGTGTATTATTTCACACACTATTATTTCACCGAAAAACACCCCGTAAAACGTATAATGTGATGTGTATAAGGGCAAAAACATATTGTTTAGAAATGGACACGAGCCAAAATTCAAAGCTGTGTACCCCAGACATACAGTTGTATGTAAATGGCCGCTTAACAACAATTAAGGCATTAATGTAATGTGAAGAGGCCCGACATATTTCACAAGGTGGCGCGAATCTCATATTTTTCATATTAATCGGAAATAATATATATATATATATATATCCGAATAAAGTGTGTATAGGGGTACATGTATACAAATAATTATAATAAGCGTAATAACATTCTTAAACATCACGTTTAAATCTTCTGAAATTAACACATCATTCATATGAAAATGTCAGAGGACATCTATTACCAGTCTAGCTGGGAAAATATGTCCGA